TGTCGATCACATAAGATTGACCAAAATTCCATTGACCATAGTAATAGTAAGGAAGGAACCAATGGTATAAAGAGAGGTGAATAAAGACTTATTACCAAAAAATAATCAGAAGCCCCAAAATAAAGAGTCAAAGGGCCTAGAATTGTAACTGAGAGATCCCAGCAAAAGAATTACCAGATAGACCAATGGCGGCAGTAGAACCATATGTTTGCTTCTCAGACCACCAAGTCAAAAATTCATTAAGAAAAGTTGCAGAAAGTTATGAGGCAGAAGGAAACCCTGGATCAGGAGCAATAGAATGAGCCTAAGCAACATGAGCAGTCCGAGGAGGTTGATATGGCTTGCCATGGAGCTTCCAACAGTGGTCAACAGTATGATTGGTCTAACAACAATGGGAGCAGAGTAACCGACCCTTAGGAAGCAAGGGCAGAAGAGTAAGAAGGGTCAACTGGAGAGACATTGGGCATAACATGTGTTGATGCTGTAGAGGCTTAGGTTGAATCCTAAGCATAATGGACATCATAGACCCTGGTGTAGGAACAATAGCAAACCTCAAAATCTAATCCTGATTGGCGGACAAATATGGAGAGAGTCAACAACATAAAAAGAGTATTATGTCGTTCCCGTTCCTTAGCAACATTACCAGTAAAAGGAAGGAGTTCATTGAGATCATGAATTAAACTTTGAGCTTCCCCAAATACTCAGACATGGGACAATCAAAATTATAAGGAGAAAAAGTAGACATTAACTTTTGCACACACCATAGACTCAATGTGTATCATTGGTGTAGAAGGCCTTTTCTTGACGCCAAAGATCCTCACAAGTATTTGCAGGCCGAAAAATTTGCTTAATGGAAGGATAAAGAATGCACTTGATGAGACTGCACAACTGAGCTTCAATCATTTTTCATCATGTGCACTCATCAGCCATAATAGATTCAGTCTGAGTAGTGAGATAAGACATATAATTCTGCCCAGCCAACCAAAGTTACAGATCTGAAGACCAAGAATCATAGTTCGAGCCATCCAATTTATCCACAGTAACCTATGCAAGGATATAATTGGTAAAAATTGGAGGATTTGACTTGGGGCTTGTCAGAGACTCATAAATAAAATAGACAGGAGTAGAATCCATAATCACCAAAAAAAGACCAAAAAATCTGAAATGACATGTCACAAAACTAACTGGAAGAAGTGGGATCTGTGTGTCACCAATAACGAATTTGAAACACCAAAACAAGTCAATATCTAGAACCATCTTGGAGAAGGGAGAAAAATCCATCAGTTGTTGTCAGAAAGGAGCCGCCACGCGTCGACCAATCGAAGGGAGGGCAGATGAATGATCTTATTGGAACGCTACCTTGACAGGAAGAACCGTATGATTGAGACGAGCACAACAATAGGTGGTTCACTTGAAAAAGCCACCAAACGGTGGTGGTCAACAACGTAGGAGCGACAGTCAACAAGTTTCTAATGGCGATTCATGAAGAGAAAGGGCTGGCAACAATGCAGAGACAACCCAAGACAAAAGAGACGTCCGGAAAATGACAAGGAGACAATATCCGGAAAAAATTTGAAAAGACAATGAACAGTGGTTCACCGGTGAAAATAAACGGATCAAGGTTCCTCTTGTTAGGCTATAGATACTATTTGGAGAAAAAATAGATGAAAGTAACATTGGAATAAATCCATGTATAGCACAGTAGAGGTTATGTTATATATAAAATTGCTGGATACATACAACCTGAAATACATGATGTGGGACTAAATCTATTTTACTTCTACTATATGTATATGGGTTTTATAAGAGTTGTGTTGTAGGAAAAATGATTGTGTAATGTTATAGAGATTCGTTTTGAGTGCTGTAGTTTTTTTCTTTTCTTTTTTCTTCAAAAAGTGTAGGCCCCACAAAATGTTGTGTGTGTAGGAAACTATGTTGTGTCATGTTAAATGACAAATGCAAATCCCTATGTATATACAACACATCTCGGCCTAAAAAATTAATATATTGTTATTTTAATAAAAAATTACAAAAATATAGTTGTTTTGAGCTAATTTACGGATCTATTGCACTCAATTTTGTCCAATTTAGGCTAAAGCAGTCTTGCCCAGTTTGGGCGAAATACCTGCAAGAGTCTCATCTAATGTAGGCGAAACAAGTCTCACCCCATTTGGACGAGACTCAAGACACTAATATATTAATTTTTTCCCTCAAATCCCCTATATCACATGACTATACATTACAATTTTCTTTGCTTTTAATTGTGGCTCATTTCTTCAACATTTTTTTATTTCTTCCTTTGACCACCAAACTGCTACTTAGACTCTGACTTGAAGACCAATCAATTATCAAACTTTCTCTCTCTATAATTGAAAATATATAATATCAAACTAGCTTGGTATTTATTTTGGTTTCACATGGATGAAATTGAAGTTCCTCAATATTTCATATGCCCAATATCTCTATAAATCATGAAAGATCCTGTTACTGTTATAGTAGGAATAACATATGACCGAGACACATTGGCTATTCTCAAAACAGAACACAATATGCCCAATTACGAAACAAGCTTTCCCAAGAGACTCTGACTTAACCCCTAATGACACCCTTCGACATTTGATTCAAACTTGGTGCACCCAAAATGCTTTACTTGGCATTGATTGAATTCCAACCCCTAAACCACCTCTTAACAAGATACAAGTCCTTAAGCTTCTCAAAAACCTCACAGTCACAGACACCAATTTGAAGATCAAGAGTCTCAGAAAATTTGAGTTGCTTGCTGCAGAGAACGAGAGGAATAAGAAGTATTTGCTAGAGGCAAGTGTTCCAAAAGCCATGATCTTTTTCATAGTGGGTGGTTGTTTTAAAAAAGTCAAATTCATGAGGGTCTTTAAGAAGCTCTAAGTTTATTGCAGTTTGTTAAGGTTCCTACAGAGGAAGGGAACCTGCTTTTAGCAGAAAACGATCAAATTTTGGATTCTCTAACATGGGTTTTGGGTTGTGAAATGCAAAATTCCATTGCTATGAAATTTCATGCGGTTTTAGTCCTCAAAAGGATCATCCAAAAGGGTGACCCTAGTGTTCTTGAGAGACTGAAAATTGAGTTCTTTGATACGATTGTGAAGATTCTACAAAATGGGGTTACCCAATAAAGGATGAATGTTGCTCTGCATGTGTTGTTTTGTGCTTGTCCTTGGGGAAGAAATAGGATCAAATTAATATTCATATAGGGTCCTTGAGTCTAACCCAAATGGGGCGAGACTTGTTTAGCCTAAATTAGGCGAGACTCCTAAATTAAGGTATTTCATCCAAACTGAGCGATATTACTTTCACTTAAATTGGGCGAAACTAAGTGTAATAGATTCATAAATTGATTCAAAACAACTATATTTTCCTAATTTTTAAAAAAAATAATAATATATTAATTTTTTTGCCAACATATTTCACCTAAAAGTCCAAGCTGTTAGAGATGAAGGCCACTGTAATGATATATATATGTGTGCGTGGGGGGTGGGGGGCAAGATATTCATACACTTGTGTAAGAATAATAAATCTTACACCAAATCTTGATAATTGATTTGCTTGCATCTAACGGCTCAAATATCTAATAAATCAGAACCGTTAGATATAAAAAAGATCAACAATCAAGATTGAGAGTATAACTTATAGTGATGTAAAATAATCCTAACACTATATATATATATATATATATATATATATATATATATATATATATATATTTATCTTATGTTACATAAGATAAACAAGCTTCCTACACACACAAAGTGGAGGTGGGTTCCACTTATAATTTTATTTCTATAACATGATATAACCATTTTCCTACGACATAAGATAAATATAACCCACACACACACACACATATATATATATATATATATATAACAAATACTTTCTTTTTCCTTACGAGAATATTTTTATTTGGGGTATTAAACAGCCTTTCTCATAGGTCTTTTCTAGCAGACTCAAATATATAACACACAGTGGTCACTTAATTACTAAGGTTAAATTTGTGTCGAATTTAAGCCATTAAATTTTATAACTGTAATACAATGCATGAAGTCAACGAATTACGGTAATTAAAGTAGCTCCGAAGACTTACTTCGTGGGGACAACGTACTGTGGGTATGTTTGTTTAACCAATTTTGCAACTCGTCAATATTAGCCTCGTATGCACGGCTCGAACAGGAATATGTGAGCAAGACAGAGATCCTCTCGTCGACGAATTGGCCTTGATCGAGTAATGGGGACTCATTTCCTGCCAATTTATGAATACGACTTCAGCATATGTATGAAAATTTCTTTGATTAGTTCACACTATCGTTCCCATATGTTTATATAAAAATGTACATTTAAGGGCTATCTAGGTAATATCGCAGCGATTCACAAATTAAAGATATTTCGTTATTTGCAAAGGGACAAGTTATATTTATAATTTTTTTTTTTAGAAACTCTTACAAATTACACTATTTTTACTCGGGAGAAGATAACATGTTCTCGTTCTCCCAATAGAAGATAACGTGTTTTACCAGTAGAAGATAACGTAATTTGTAAAAATTTATAAAAAAAATTTGTAAACGAATCCTTTCCCATTTGCAAAACTGAACTATTACAGAGGTGTTAAGTCTATATATGTATGAACTCAGAATTCAGAAACAAGAACTGCAACTGCTAAACTACTAATTCCCCAAACCAACTTGAATACAAGAGAAACTAACTTAACACATTATAAACAGAAAGCTAACTGATTCACTAACAAGCCCACTGCGTTAGTTTCTTTCATGATTAGTTGCACTTCTTGGAGCATGAATAGAAAATGCTCGTGGTGGGTGAGGTGCAGTATTATTTGTTTTGCATGCCATCGTTGCACGTGAGAAGGAAGCGTGTGATAGCGGTGATAGGCTTGTGACCCTGACTTAACATATTATTTGTTTTGCATGGATCTGATATAAATCGGTCATTACTCTTTTGGCAACATGCAGATCAACAAGAAGTGGTCCACGTAAAATTATGCCAGGTAGTGGAAATTATTATTAGTTGATTTGAGAGATTTTTCAAGGTATTCCTGGGTTAAGAGAGACTTCTTCTAATGTACTGCTGAAGGTGTGTGTTGGACATGATTTTGGTTTGGTTGTTAGAGAAATTTAATATAAAAAATTATTAATATGATCATATTATTTGATAATTTAAGTTTTTGGGTCGAACTGATATTTTATATGGTATCAAAGCTATTGACTGAGTAGTAGTAGTTATGTCAATCCTTATCACTCTCGTTCTATTAATAAATAATTAAATATTAAGAATTATCTTAACAAATATAGTGAGCCTCTATGTTATCCACCCTTTAAATCCTATAAGCTCTTGTGACCATTAATATGACCTACATTCAACAACTTAAATTTTGTATTAAATTAACTTTTTACATCAATACTATATATTCAAAGTGGTAACTGCTTGATAAGGATTTCACAAAATGTCGGATATAAGCGTTAATAATTAATTAACATACCGGAGAATTTTATGGTTTTGTTTTTGAGAAAAGTTATACTTACAACTTTTTTTTTACAACCTCTTACAACTATATCTTAACATCGTTGATTTTCGTCAATCAACGGTTATGATTTTCGCAAATTAAACTCATTCTTTAATTATTAATTCACAATAAATGATAACTGTTTATTGGCGGAAATCAACGGTGTTAAGATATGGTTGTAAGACGTTGTAAAAAAAAAGTTGTAAGTGTAACCTTCCTCGTTGTTCTTTTTTCTTGAAAATACTCAATAATTAATCATTTAATTACGTGTTTTAAACTAAAACAGAGTGTAGAATCATTTTGACAGTTCAATATACATTCCAGGGGATAATGGGAGTTATCAGTTTAAGATTGATATTAATTACTCTTTAGAACTTTGTAATATATTTAGAAGTCAAGTGTGAATTTGAAGGATTGCCAGAAAAAGAAAAAAAAGTGTGAATTAATAAGCATATACCCCAGGGTTCTTGGAGTCAAAAGTCACATGGAAAACACCGGTGCACCCTTTAATGGCTTCGTTAAAGCTTCCCTCTTCGGCAGTTAAAGCCTTCCACAGAGACATGTTGGTGTTTGTACCTGGCATTTCCAGCAAATGCTTCTTCTTCTAGCTTCATGTTAGTGCAATATGCATGCATATAATATATTTTGTTATTACATTAAACAGGTCAATTTAGGCATTATTTCATGAAAAATGAAGCAAGAATTGGACCTGGCATGGGTTGCGTAGGGTGGCTCGAACCCTATATTATGATCCAATGAAACAGTAGCCCCTGTAACGCAAAACGGTTTCGGACCCGAACCTATATTCTCTCATCTATTTGACTTTGGCTTGAAAATGGAATGAAAAACAATGTGTGGGTGCTTTTGTCTAGGGTTTTGTACTAACGATAAGACTCGTAAGAGGAAATGAGAAGAGGACTACGAATGCGTTTGGTAGGATTTAGTTACCCCAGCAAATACATATTCTATCCTACATATGGATATTAATTGCAGTGTGACAGCGATATTAATTGTGTTGTCACAGCTTTTTAAAAGTCTGACTTAAAAACTTTTTAAGGAATAAATTCAACAAGAATGTTTTAGTAGCAGATGTTACTTCTAAAAATACTCAAAGATAATGTATACAGATATTTTATTCATATATTTAAACTTGCTTTGCTATGTTAAGTTGAATATTTATATTTTGTCAATATTTTTATCAAGGTCAGGATCATTTTACACCAGTGTAAGTTACACTCTTAATCTTGTCCGTTGATCCCACTTATATCTAAGGGATCTAATTTTTTAATAATGTGAGCCATTGGATACAAGTGGATCAATGGTCAAGATCGAGTGTAAGACTTCTAACTCTTACACCGGTGTAAGAATATCCTGCCCCTTTTATCAATGAAAATAAATATTTAGTATGTTTAAATCATTTAATTGCTAAATTTTTTTAGCATTCCTTAATTGCTAAAATTAAATTTTCTATCTTTTAATAATTAGTTCATCATAAAAATATATATTAAAAAACTATATTTTTCTATCTAACTAACTTGTTGTAGTTGGGCGTAGGTGTGCACTATGGCCTCGTCGCTCAACACGTGACCATCGGCGGGTTAAGGAATTCAGCGTTAGTTAGCTGATTGACTGCTAGTTTAGGGGCTGACTTGTTGCTGTATTATTTTCTTTCCATTGTGTATAAGGATTGTAGTAAATAATTTTAATATTTCTTACATATGTAAAAGTATGTGAAATTTATATTTTTTTTTCTTCTTTTCAAATGGCACCATATATGTCCTACATATTTTTATGTCTGTATAGAAGATAATTTTATTTTCTACAATATAAGAAATATTAATCTCTATATATATATATATATATATATATATATATATATATATGTGTGTGGAAAATGATATATAATGTCACTGTATATAAGGTTTGGTGCTGTCAAAAAATTATAAGTATGTATTACGTGTAGTACATAGTATATTTTAAAAAATAATTATGTAAAAATTCATATACTACCCGCAGTACATAGTTAATTTCTGAAATACACTATGTAGTACTCGTAATACATAATTTGTTTTTAGAAAATTCTTAAGTACAACCACTGTTCATCCGCATTATCCACATACACATATATATATATACACACATATATATTATGGGAAAATCAATTGTCATGTTGCTGGAAACAAGTTTGCTCTCCCTTTGAAAGCAGTGCTTTCTGTTTTTTTTTTATGTGGGCCCACATCTCACTCTGCTCGAACAAAATAGTTGGTCCTGTAACATGATTGATTCATTCCCCGTATACCAATGACTATATTTTCAGAATATTTCCAACTTTAACGAGATCATTAATGAGTATTGAAAATTGTTTAGCACTTCTCTGTTTGAGAAAAGAGGGATTTCACTGTATATAAGGTGAATTAGTGAATTAGTGATAAAAAAGGGTTTTTTTTTTTTTCCATTCTAAGATTACAATAAACTACGAATTTTAACCAAAAAATTTTACATATCAATACTTTCTTAACATCGAGGATCGATGAGTGGTCACTATTGACTAATTTGATGCTTTCATCCACCTTAACAAAAGGTCACCTTAACACAAGGTATATATATAGTTCATATATCGAAAAATATAGTCTTGTTTTAGCATTCCAGGATTATAAATAAACTTAACTGTTAATATAAAATCTTTACAGCTAATTACAAATATTAAATGTTATTTATCATTTGAAAATTTCATTTCTTAATGAATTCATACATACACGATTGAGACTAGACGGATACACATGCCGGATATCTAAAGGGACTTCATAACCCTCTTCTAAAAAGCCCAAGCCCATAAGATGGTGTTTGGTTGGGAGCTTTTCAGTAGATATCTATCTTTCTTAAGTATGGCTGCTTTTAGAAACACCATTTTTTTTCAACGTTTTTCACCAAAATTCCATCTATCCAATTTATCTGGATTTATGAGAAACATAGATATCCGCACTGTTTAGAAACCCGATTTGAAGGTGGGATTTTTCGGAAAACCGGTTATCTGGCTTTTAATGCACTGTTGATTTCATAAAGTTACCTAATTTTCCCAGTAAAATCTTTCCCCACCAAACAACTTTTTTTTACATTTTTCTACCTATCTCACTTTATTTATCTTTCCAATCATTTCTCTATCTATTTCATTTCTCTATTATTCCAAAAAAATTTCCTGAACCAAACGCCCCCTAAGGGAAGACTTTGATCCAAGTCAAATGCTGAGGAAATCTTCTCTATAAATACACAAGCGCACCTCTAGTTATACATTTTTGAAACCCTAATCTCTCATATACATATTGTGCATAGGGTTGGCAAAACGGGCCAACCCGACCCAACCCGTGTTCAATCCAAAAAAAAATGAGCTGGGTTAGGGTTGGCTCGAAAAATAAACGAGCAAGAAAATTCAACCTAACCCGACCCGAGCAGGATTAGGGTTGGCTCAAAAAAAATGGAGAAAAATAAAATTTCATTGGCTCGCGGGTTGGCCTCTTCGTCGCCTTTCTTCCTCTGTGATACCTAAATGAAGAGTAAGCAATATTTTGTAACTATAATAAGAAAAGCACCAATAGTTGCACATTTAGAAGCAACCACAAAGCGTAGTTATCAATAACTATCACAGAGCGGCCAATATCCGTTCACCATCGCGGCCGCTATTCTTCATAGATAAAAATCTCCTATTTACCGACCCTGTTTTGTGGGATACTGAAGCCATCTTTTGGAGGTTTTTTTGCAATTTCCCCTTGTTTTACATCAAAAGCCCTACGTGTTTCTAATTCAAGACTAAACAAACCTTTAATTCACCCTAAACCCAAAATTTCTACATCTAGTAATCGACAGCAGCACGCGACCCATTTTTCTTTCTTTGTTTCATTAATTTTTATTCATTTATATTTTAAAACAAAACGTAACCCGCGAGCCAACCCGTTTGACCTGCGGGTTGGCTCAGTTTTTTTCGAGCAGAAATAAGTCGGGCTGACTCGAGTTACTAGCTCATTTTCCCTAACCCAACCCGGCTCATTTTAGGCGGGTTACGACGGGTTGGCTCATTTTTTCCAACCCTAATTGTGCACACACACCATCACCCTTTAGCTTCAAGCCTCATCATCCTTGCATCCAGATATCTGTCACCTGTTATCACATTTCGTAGTTTTCGAGAAATTAATTAAGGGTGTTTTGGTAAAATTCATATAATAAAAAAATAAATAAAATTATGAAAATATCCTTCATTAATTCAAATCGACATAATTTTGGGGGTCACTGGCGATAACTTATCTCTAGTGTCTGAAAAAATACTTTACCTATATATATATATATATATATATATATATGGGAAATTATTGTCTCATTTTACATGGATAACTATCTCATGCTCCTCTCACATAAAAAGTCATGCCACCACATTTTTTCTTTTTTCTTTTTCTAATGGGTGGTGGGCCCACCACATCATATTTCTATGGTAGGAGATACTTATTGTAAGAACCCGCATCGTTAAATTAAGAATTTAATTAATTAATTATGAGCTTAAGTGGATAAGTTTCATAATTGACCTTGAATAATTATGAGAGGGCTTAAATAATTATATTAAGTGATTAAAAATGTTGAAAGTCATTTTTCTGACGAAAAGTGTATATACC